TTATAGCATGTTGATAGTGCGATAGATAACATATTCTGCTCACATTCCGAACGCATTTAGAGTAATTTTTTTTGTAAATATCATCTTTTGAATTGACTCAGCATTCGCATTTTTCATTGTCTACTATAGATATTCATTTTTGAAAATTGAACGAGTTTTGTGCGATGATGTGTCTGTGTTTAAACAGGGATTGAATCTTGTTTTAGTAAAAATTCAACCGAACACAACCAACAGACACAATTCAAATGGCAATAATAATAAAATCAAACAAAGCTTGTTTACATTATCCATTTGGATGGTTTGCATTATCGTATTCTTTTCGATTGTGTGCGGTATGTTCATTTTCTTTATTTTTACATATTCATAATACTTTCAACTTTACCGCCAAGCGTACGCTATGGCTTTATGTTTATACAGGCATACCGGTCTCTCAATTTTTTAACGGTGTAATGATATTTTAGGGACATGCTATGGCTCCAGATGGCGTATAATCAACTTTTACTTCATTTTTGTAATTGTTTTAGTGCCAACTGATTTAAAAATTTGTGCATACAAAAATCGAATTTAACTTTATTGCATACATACATTAGATGGCGCCTGGGCAAAGACATCTTTCCCCATGCTCTGCGGCTGGTTTAAATACTCCTGTGGAAGTATGTGTATTTGCCATATTTTCTGCATTATTTGTTTTAACTTTGTGCACAAATTCTTTTGATATGAAAATATTATTGAAATCGGATAACTAAATATGAACACTTTTTTTTTGTGGAAAAAAGTTCGAGAGAAAAGTCACCACGAAGCAAAAAAATAAATAAATAAATAAAAAAATGGTTTAAAAAAACCAAGTCTCATGATATAAAACTTAGTTTTCTTATCTCAAAGTTGGAAATTCAAACGTTATTGGTTATATGATATTTGAGGTGTACAGTGATAAATTCGGTTGTTTTCAGATTGAACGTCAAATTGAAATGGTTTCATACTGAACAATCATGAAAAATTGCCACAAATTTAAAAAAAAAACGAGTTGCATTCACTTGATTTGGTCTTTGGAGCGCACAGCCAAAAAAAAATGATAAAGGTGCGAAAATAAAAAGTCATTTCACAAACTGTTTACGGTTCCATATGTGCCGCATCGAGCGAGAATGAGCTAGAGAATTTTCCTTCTCGCTCGCCTATAACCGCTTTGAACTTTGAACGTCACACCAATTGTCGGCATTGCCAACAACCGGAGCGCAATTCCATGTCGAACACCACACCGTCTCACACGGAGAAAAATACGACATGAAGTATATACGAAAAATGAAACAAGACACATCTTTCCACTTCATAAAATGCGATATTTTGCAACGTGTTCCTTCGGCATTCTTTTTTCTGTACTTGTTGTTGAAAATGGTATTGCTGCATTCATATTTGAGAGTAAGAGACGAAGCGTGACAAGAAGAATGTCTACCGTTACGACATATTACAGCACGGATTACAGGTTTTTCTCTTCTATTTGAGTCGGCTATTCATTTTCTAGGGTGTGTTGAACGTGTACGCTTTATTAAATGTCATCAAATGTTTTGCGAGTTGCTCTGTTTGCGCTTTGTTTATCAGCGTGTGCTTTTGTTTTTATTCTACGTTTTTCGGTCACCCAATTCAATTTTTGTTTGTTATGGTTGTTGTTGGTGGTGGTGGTGGCAATGGTGGTGATGATGATGTTGTTTGGCTCCGTTTTTCATGTTGTTATGAGTATTCAGGTTTGGTTGCGGTTGATGTGCCTTGCACCATATGACTTTTTTTATCACAAATGTAATCTGATTAAATGAATTCAATTTGCGAATTTAATTGTCTCATCCGTTATCCTCAACCAATTATGTGTGCGGTGATATTTAATAACATGACTACATCAAAAATGTTCCAACATTATTCACGCCACTTGAACAAAATGCAAAAATTTAGTTTTCACATAATTTTTTTTATATTCTTAGAGGCTGTTGTTGCTACTGTGATGTGAAGTGTGTGTATAATTCGCAAATTATATTTTCTGGTTCTCATTTGTTCATCGGTACTTGTTTGGCGGTTGGTTTAAGTTTGAAAATTTGCGTATGCAGACAATTTAGTTGTTGCGTTTTTTTTTTGCTGTTACACTTCTTCTATCTGTTCTTTCTCTCCCTTCTTTGAATTGACTTTGGCACTGTGATATCAGAACTTTACGTTCGTCTGCAACACATACGCCAAACCAAAGACGCACCATATTCGAACAGAAATTACAATGGACTCGTTGAAACTTTATCATTTACACGTCTTTTGCCATCGCCAAAAAGTTACAAAACAAAACATACAAAACAAAGTGCAAAGAAAAAATACTAACGAGATTGAAGTAAGGAAGAGAGACACAACAAAAAAAGAGAAGGAGAGAATGAGCAAAAAAAATGAGATGTTGCAAGATAAAATAGCTGAACGAGTTGAAAAGTTGTAACAAATAAAATGAAGTGAAATAGATGCAAGCGAAAACCGTTTTCATTCAACAGTATCTTATATCTATGGAGAAAGCGCACTCAAAAGATCGAAAAAAGTGCGAAGGCAATGAGAGAATGAAAAATATGAAATCGTGAAACACATAATTCAACTGCAGCATCACACCCTTGCATATGTCTGCCGTGTTAAAATTATATTTTTTTTTCTGCTACGAATGGGCGGAAATTAGACGAATAACACTAAAATAAAGAGGCTTACGTACGCAAGCTGACTTTTCCGCATGGAACCGAAATTTTGGGAATAAACTGAAATTATGGTCTATGTATGGTTGCAGTAACTTGAATCAACGTGAAAACTTGTGAATATTATTTTCTTATCAAATTAAATAATCACACCAAGTTTAAAGAAATTTCAATCAAAAAAATAGCCTGTTCAAAGTTTCACATCATTACGGTACCACAAAGGCAAGTCTTTCATACAAAAATGAAATGTTTTGTGGATTTTTGTATGAAAAGTCTGTGAAAAATTGATTGCATCTTAAAACTAACATCAGATTCAGGTTTCTCGTGCCAAAAAACCCCCCACTACACATTCTTTCAGCGTTCAAATTGAAATAATAAATTATTTTAAGGCATTTTTCTCATAAGTGCCTCTTCAGAGTCTAAGTTTTACACCGGTCAATCAATGTCGTTGAAAATTTGACCAGATTTATTCCTCGTAGTGCCCAATCATCCCGTGAAGTCACATTTTGAATTTCATGTCTGAGCACGAAACCATCGTGTCACCAAAATGGTTGAGAAATGATCAAAAATGTATGGATGTGGGATTGTGGGTACTCCATTCGGACCAAAAAAAATTACACCGGTCAACAGATATTGCTCAAAAACTAATCAACACGTCTCCTAGTAGTCCCAAATCATCCTGCAAAGTCAGAATTTGAATTGAGTTTTTGGAAGTGGATTTATCGTGTTAACAAATTTTGGCAACACGCCACAGAACACAGGACACAGGACACATCACACACAGCGACGCACATTAATATGCCCCAAAATCATCTCCAATCGTGTTTTCTACATTAAATATGCATAGAAAACATGTTTTGGGATGACTTTAATTTTTTGGCCTAATACAATACCTTCCCTACACTAGGTGTGCGGAAAAGTAAAAAGAAGAAGAAAAAAGCGACCGAGCTGAAAAACCAACACCTTCCGCTTAATCGGCAGAAAATATTTTAACGCAGTTTGACGTTGTCTTAGATAACATTGTCTTGAGAATTTATATATTTTCGCTTAAAAAAAAATTATGGACAAAACAATTGAATTTGAATAGTGCTACATTCCAGCATTTCGTTATTTTCATTGCTTTGTTATCTTCTATATATTTTCTACAGTTTGAAAAAAGCGTTTTTCCTTCGAACCAAACAATTTTTTTCACATTTTAGAAGTTTGTTTTTCATCTTAATTTTCCCGCCACTTTTAATGTGCATGCTGTCAACAATAGCTGTAAAGCGAGAATGTACTATAGTTTGACGATGGCGTTTAAATTCTCCTTTTTTTCTATGTTCATCGTGCTCAAAATATATCTTAAACGACCTTTTACCACTTTTAATAATGTGTAAATGCTTTCAACTTAATAAACAACTTATCCGGAGGTTAAAATTTCAACGAAAAAGTGTTGATCGCTTGCAAGATAATAATACAGAAAAAGAAATAAAGGTGGGAAGATGCGAATAAAAAGAACAAACGAACAAATAGAGATTAAAAGAAAGTACAACATGACCGCACATTTGCTGATACACGAACAAAATATCTCAAATATAGAACATGTTTATACTGGAAGCCTGAACAAAGGTAAAACATAGCCGAACATTTGTACTCATTCACAGACAGATTAGAAGAAGCTAAAGAAGATGGCGAAGAAAAAAATAATTACGCACTGCTAAAGCAACTATAATTTAATCGTTCAAAGATAAGTTTGTCCGTCTTTCAGCGATAATTATTTTTGTGGTGTTTTCTTAGGCTTAACCGAGCGAACGAGTTCTTGTCAGCCCCTTACTGTTTACTCATTCACCAGTCAAATCGGTTTTCTTAGCATAAGAAAGTTAAGTGTATGTGACCTGTGAATTGTTTATTTGCAGGTGCTTAATTGGTTTCTGCATTCCCACTAATTTGTACGTCAATGGATGTTGATGTATCTCAAACTGTCGACTATATATGACCAAAGAGAAAAACTCAGAAAATACCAAGAAAATTGCTCGAAAACGTAGTCGACGTTGTTGGGTACAATTTTAACCGCATCTCCACACCATCATTAAATTGCGAATATCAAACCAAATACTCGGATAAAAAGAGAAAGATAGAGAGAGAGAGAGAGACTCTCTGCATCAAGACCAATTCCAAAAAGTACACAAATTCGTTATATGAAAGATAATTTAATTTGCAATGGAAATAACATTTATGAATGGTAGATAAACCACGAAACATTCGTTCTTTTTGACAAGAAAAGCTTTCGAACAAAGTTTCTTTTGAAAAAATACTTACATGTGCCGTTGCCGATTATTTATGAGAAAAACTGTTTGTTATTGTTGATATTGACAGCAATGCTCAACTGATTGTTATAGATTTCTTTGTTACTCTCACACTACGCACAATTTATTTTAGTTACTTAATAAAAAGAATGCATTCAAATATGAATTGGCTGTTGACGTCGCGCTCGAACAAAGGTAATTTGCTTTTGTGCAAAAAATGGATTTTTTGAAAAAAATAAAATCACTTTGTTTGTTTTTTTTTTCTACTTTTACTTTTTGTATCGGTTTTTTTTTTCTTACGAATTAATCAATTGTAAACTGTTCAAATTGATCAAATGCACTTTTAATATATTTGCACCAACTGTTTTTAATTCCCTTAAATTTACATATAATTTTCATGTAAAATAAATTAAATCACAATTTTTTTTTAAATTCATAAAACAATCGTAATAAACACATAAGTATAGTTTTGATAATGCATAAAATGATTTTGTTTTGGATTGAATCCAAACAAGAATCGAAATGAGCACCGTTAAATAATTTTGACAAAAAATATTATTTTCTGAACCGGTGAAATTGATTGGCTTTTAAAAAAGAAATAGTACAAAAATTAAATGAAGAACACACCGTTGTGGAATCACACAGATTTATTAATCGAATTACACCAGTGAATTTGTTAATCGAATTTCGGTTGTCCGACTCAATTAAATGTAATAAGCCTTCGTCGACCAAAATACCAAACAATCTATTGGAATACACCGATTTTGATGCCGTACGCTTCAATCGTAGATGAGCGAATGACTAGGACCCGTTGAAATAATTCTATCGAACGGCAGAATTGTTGTGCGCTATTTTCCACCATTCATTTTCAGATTCTATATGAGCCTCTGTGTAGCAAATATTTACTGCCGTTTCGCAATGTGAGAAGGCACACAGCATACAGCACCACACACAACAATTCTCTTGAACTAAAATGTACATACGAAGTTTTGTTCTTTTACTCAGTTACCATGGATAAGTACAAATAATACAAATGAATGAGCACTAATACGGCAGCTACACGCAGTGTCGATTCAGTTTGATGTTCCTGCTCGCTCATTTGTTCGCTGCTTTGTATTTGTTGTACTCTTCTTCATCGGAGCTATAAAACTGTACAAAGAATCAACGAACACCGAAACGCTTTGGATTTTGAGCAAATTCGAGTGTTTGCGTGTACGTACCAACTTTCGTTATAGCACACAATCACATACATTCTATGGTTAGAGATGTAATTGATATTTTTTCCACATCGTTTTTGACTTATGGGCTATTGATTGTGAAAAAAAAAACCGTTACACCAAATTGATCACTTGCTCTTCAAATACATTATTATTATTATTATTATTTCGAGTGACTTTTTGTTTAACTTGACTTCTGTTGCCCACTATCAGATTGATTGAGCATTGATTTTAATTAAATGAATGTGTGTGTTCATTGTTGAATGTCAACGTTAAAACGCACTGAGTCTGATAAGGTTTCAATTTTTTTTAAATGTTTTTAATTACAAATAATGTTAACGATGCTTTCAAAAGCAGCAAATTGACGCAAAATTCCTTCCTGTCATATCTTTAAATTACTTTTTCAATCTCCGGAAGGGCTTAGATTCGATGATGTACATTTTAAACACTACTCGTTTCATGAAGAAATCTATTGAAATATGAAACATGAGAAAAACAAATTCAATTTTCCAGGGTTATTATAATATATATTAATATTACCATGGCCAACAAGTTTTTATTGTTGTTTTTCTGTGGCACCGAGAGAGATAGAGAGAGAGGAAAAATGAAAAAAGTGAAATATTAAAGCTTGTTGACTTTTATGTCTCTGGATTGACGGATTTTCCATAAGACCAAAAATATGGTGCTTATACACGACTAAAATTCCAGGAAATGTTTGGATAAGTCACGTCGTATAAATGCTGAGTAATGATGAATAAAATGTTATGTCGCATGGGCACCTGTGGAATATTGTGTATCAAAGTGCGATAAGCGTGCAAGAACGCAGAAGAAAATGTTTCCTTCGAATTTTACAATGATTTTCTATTAAATGCTCGCGCTGTTGTTCAAAAGGGGTTTTCATCAAAATTCGGAACGTTTTTTCACTCATTAGTAACAGCACCCTTATTTTATACATCCGATAACATCTCTGGAGTATAAGAGCAAAAGTTTATCACTTAAAGGGCCATCGATAATAATCGCATCTCAAAATGGAACTAATTTATCAAAACAACATGATAGATTTAAATAAATATATTATTTATAATATTATAAAATTTATAAAACGTTCATCAAATCACCGTTTGCACTGTCTTTGCACTCTGTTAAATAAGGATTCTGTTGATTCCACACGGACAATGAAAACGGACAGTACATAAAAAGGAAAAGATTATTATATTTACCACATTTATGATCTACCCATTCATTTTTTCTATTCTTTATCAAACGTCAAAAACAAAAATGTACAATTGTGGTTGTGTTTTGACATTTTACAAAAAATATACAGGGTGATTCACAATTCCATGCTAATCTCTCTACCACAGATTCATCAGCTCAAGAGGAGTAAAAAAGTGTATAAGCACTTTTCCCAAATCGGCTGTTTCAGTAGGGCTCCAGCCCTAGCCCCCTTAGGGTCAACATTTCTAATGTTCTGGTTGATTTCGACGGACCACTGCGGTATTTTTCAAAATGCATTTTTGATTATTGGTTTGTTGGAAAGGTCTCCCGGCCCTCTTCCAAATACCATGAAAAAATTTCGAAAAAAGTTTCAGTGGAGACGGTCATAGTGAGTTGACCAAAAGTGAAAAAAATCATCGAAAATCGAAGAAAATCGTAATTTATCTCAAAAAAACATGTGATAAACCTTTCTTTTTTATGCCAGAAATCGAAAGAGCATCTAATTTTGGTCCGGTATGCACATTTTCAGATTCCAAATTTTTTTGGGTGGGTAAATATTTACAACAGTCCGAAATGGAGCGACCAAATTTTTTTTTTTTTCATTTTTTTGAATCGTCTTTTCTGGGTCAGTTTTTTACTCAGATTATATGGTCTTACCACCGATCTTACATAATTTGGACCCGAGAAATCCAATGGTGCCAACGGTTTTGACCGATCGATTCGAAGTTCACAAGATAATCGGCTTCGAACCTACCCCTAGGAGTGACGTTTTGGAGTTTCAATTTTTTTCATTCGATCGGTATGAAAATTGGTATTGGGGGTTTTTGGGTACGAGAAACCCGAATTTGATATTTACTTTGACTGTGACTGTGTACTTGAATGTTTTCACTTGCGTCATATTCTATTTGTACCACAGAAATAAAATATCGATACATGCATTTTTGGAGCGTGTCCATGTGTTGTGGTCTAATTTATTATTTGAGACATTCATGTACCACATATTAGACACAGGTTTGATGTTTACAAAATAGTTGGGCTTATATTCTTCGTCCAACGCGAAATTCCTTATCAATTTATATGTGGTTAATAGTCAATATTTTCAGTTACTGCAATTCGAATTTCAAACACATGAATTTTGAATGTTGTGTAGTTGAAAGTAGACTATGAAATAGACTATTTTATTGAGAATCTCATTCAACTTCAATTTCATTCAGATCGAATACTGAACTATTGGCTAACGTCTGCTGTGATGAAACTGTCTGTTTCCCAACATTTCATTAAAACTTTCGAAATTTTTTGATTTGAAATTCTTTTTGACCAAGAAAAGTGAAATGATTGAGAAATGATATGCATATTGTTGCACTTGCAGTGATAACAAAATGTTTACAGCGTTTTCATCTTTTCCTTTGAAGAGATTGGACATTTTGGTGGGGAAATACACATGTTGTCAAATTGCTTTTAAATATTAACTATATCAGCGACTTACGTGCCCATTGGTGATTCATGTGGTGTTTTCAGACTCAATTGAAATGTTCAAAATCTGACGTTTGATTTGAATTGTACACAATCTTTGAAAAATACTAAACCTTCTTCTCATTTAAAATACACGTTGCAGCGGTTTGGAATTTTTCGTGGAGTGTACGTATTTTTTTCTTTTTTAAGCACTACTAAATGGCACTTTCAAAAATAGAAAGGATTTTGTTCTAGTGTCGCCCTCTATATGTCAGATCGGGGACTTATTGAGTGATGTGTTATTGTGCATATTCTTTACATTTTAGTAGAATAATTGATTTTTTGAAATTTGACATCAAACGGGATTTGAACGCCTTCAAATTGTAGTAACTAGATAATGGTTTCCAATTATTTTCCCAGAGAATATGTGTATTGGAATTGATCTATTTATTCAAAGACATTTGCTCCTATAGCTTTATTCGGAATGCAAAAAGAGTTGAAATCGCAAAGTGTGTATTATTTCTTTGATTTTTGGTGTTTGAATTGACTAAATGTGTCCTTTTTTTATTTAACCATCTGTAACAAGATCAAGTGTAATTTATACTAAGTGTACACTAAATTTACAGTAAATATATAGTTTTTAAAATATCTTTTTTGGCCAAAGGGTATGTTTACTGGTTAGATAAAAACATCTTGTTCACTCTTAGAGTGACACCCTACTTCTCTCTCACACCAAAATGTCGAAAAATATGAAATTCATAAGAAATGCCAAAGCTGTTTCTATTCTCTTCGTCTAATTACTGCATAGACTGTTCTCATCGATTTATTTAATTAAAACAAAAAAAAGTGTTGTTGATTTGGAAGAAATCATCGCAGCGCTTTATGAGATGCAGTAGAGAAAAGCATAGTATTGTTTATTTCTTTTGTCCTGTTTTTCTGCCCTTGATCACTTTGCTGTCAATTTGTATTGGTTATTTCATGTTTCTATATTCATGTGAAATATTACGAGTGAATAATAATGTTCAATGATACAAATAAAAAAAATGTTTATCCCCAAGCAATACAATTTCAATGAAATTGTCCATTTGATTTGCTTTTTGCTTTCTTCCTGACAAGTATTGTTATGAATTGAAAATGGGATGCAAGGTCACATTTTTCCACTTAATATTATGAATTCCAGCAACTTCACTTAATTTAGTACATAGAATTTAATGTTATGTTTCGAATAGATCTGCATCAGTGAGCAATGAAAACAATTGATATTTCTTACAAAGAAACTCAACTCAACTCAACACAATCAATGTGTCCAAATAAGAACAAGCTGAAGGACGGGGAGAATGATACGTGCTCGTCGAACGGCAATTAAGTTTCGAACATGCTTTTAGCTGTGCATGAGTTTCTCAATGTTTCGAATGTGAAATATTGAACAACGTGCTTCAATCATGGAATGAAATATGTTGACAAAACTGCTTAATAGAAAAAGTA